AGACTCTTTCACGGGATAGCTTTGTGTATCGTTCTTTGCTCTCTCAGCAGTTTAGAAATGAAATACTTTTAGCCTGGAGGAGATGATCTATTTTAAAAACACAAATTGTGTTTGCAGATGGCAGAGAGTGACTGCAGTCCTGTTTGGGGTTCTTTTCCTACCAACACTGGGGCAGAGTGAGCCCTGATTTAATAGACTCTGATTGAATATGTGTTCAGAAATACCCCTAGAAACTGAAGGACTGAGCTTGAAGGTTTCTTCCCTCCTCTTACACAGCTTTTGCTGTGTCAGAAATGGTATTTACATATTTGTTTGTTTATCTTTACGCAGTAATAGCTCCTCCTCAGTGGTATCATTTTCCATGCTTTTACGCATGCCAAAAATGAAGCTTTTTGTTTTCACTTGTGCCACATCCCTTCTCTTTACTGTCCTGAGTTTATGTTTGATGGAAGGAGCTGCCATGTCAGTGTTGGGGAAGGAAGGCTTCTGTTTCCAGAAGGCAGAGGAATGGCAGTCTGCTCCCGATGGAGAATCACTGTGCTGCTGTCTCTGTGGCTGCAGGCCCCGTGGGCACCCCGCTCGCTGTGCACCGATGTGGTGTCTGTAACGGAACTGGTCCGTGCAGATTGGAGCCCCTTCCCAATCGCAGAATCTCAGTAACAGTATGTTGTGTCTCTAGGTTTTTATCAGGATCCTTATCTGGATATAAGTAGCACATGCTTTGCTTTATATTCTTTTCTCCTTCTTGCACTGAGAGCAGACCCTAATACTCCTAAAGTCCTTTCAGAAGACCCATTAGGTAAGTTTAAGCTGGTACTAGGTTGGTGTTTAAGCTACTGCCCTAGCAGTACAAGGTCCTGTCTTGCTGTAATGTGCATAACATGCAATGGAATCCAGGCAGGAACATGTAACAGCTTGATGGGGATGGGGGTGTCATCTTGGCCTTCCAAGTTTGCAGTGTTGGGTACAGACCTCACTCAGACCTAAGCACTGCCCGAAGCTCACGTAGTTCACATACAGGAATCATACCAGCTGATCTGAGGTTCCTGCAGCCATCCTGGGGTACACCTAGGCCCACGACTGAAATCCCTGTGTTTTTATCCAGATGTACTTTTCTGCGTACGTGTTTCCAGTGCTTAGTGCTTTTCCTGGCTCTCCATTCTCCTGGTCCTGTTTGGGATGTGCTGTATTGCAGGTTACCTCCGGGGGGAGCAGGGTAGTCAGTTGGAGATGGGGAGTGCTTCAAGAGTGAAATTTCTTAGTGTTGAAATATTTTCCTTTGAGATGTTTTGGAGAGCCCTCCAGAGAGGGAGAATAAGCGTGCAAGTAACTTTACGTTCTCTTGAAATGAAAGCAATGAGATGGAGGTGAAAAAATGGGCATAAAAAACAGGATATGGCTGAAGAGTAAAGAACTCCTCAAAATTTGTTATGCACTAAATTACTTTGCTTTATATTGCATTGGTAGTTTAGGTTTCTAAATGCCCCTAATTTGCCATATGGTAATGTCAGGTGCCTTCCTCATAGTTTGGTACCTCGCAGTGCTGGGAACTGGATGGGCAGAGAACAAAAAGATGGTTGTCCCAAGGAGCTTAAAATGCACAAGAAAAAACAGAGAAATATATCCAGCTGGGAGGAGTACACAGGAAAGAGATCACAGCCAGTAGCCCAACCATTGTCAGGCTGTTGACAGATAGAGTAGCAAAGTGGCAAAATGGAGTTGAATATGAAATAGCTTTGTGGTGTTGGAAAGGACCTTTTTCCCCGAGCATGAGAGGAACCAGGAAGGCATGTGTTGTGGCACTGATGTGGGCTGTGATGGAGGTAGGTGTCCAAGAAACAAGTATCAAAACACATTCAGTGTGTTAGGTAATGGGGAAGCTGATCACACCAGGGTACTTGATCAGTAGCTTGTCAAGGCAGTGTTTACTGTGATGTGCTCCCAGGTACCACCTTTCCTGGCAGCCTGTTTTATTGACGTGCTGGGCTTGTGTCCTGCTGTGCCATGGGGAAGAGGCATCTCTCTATTGAGAGTTGCCACAGCCCGCCCTCATGATGCTCTTTTTTCCAAAGGCAAAAGAGGAGCTAGCAGACTCTGAGTGGGTGGTAGTGAATGAGCTGAAATCCACTCACCTGGCTGAGGCTCCAATCATCTATGCTGGTATCTATTTCTTAAATATGGTACAGAATTGTTCTTTCAGTGTCTTGCATAATGGCTTTGTGCACTGCTTATACCTGTCACTGTAGCAAGGGTGTATGGGACATCAGGAGATTAGAAGGGATAATTCGGAAGGTACATGTTAATTTTGCATATCTGTGTTCCTTCATGTTTCACTAGCAAGGAGAATGAACTGCAAACTGATGTTTACAACCAATAAAAATTATCAGCCAATGAAAAAGTTTTCAGGGGCAACCCTAAAGAACAGGGGGGTGTTAATGGATGAGGTGGATTGGGTTTGGGGTAGAAGAAAAGTGGAGCCCTGGTTAAGAAAGTTTTGTGTTTTCTTTCAGAACACCATGCTGGAAAGAGTTATTAGTTTCAATGACTGTGTGATTTAAAGGGGATTAGGTGACGAATGATGCCTAATCATGTAATTAATGACAGTTGATGTATAATCACAAGGGGGCAGTGTTAAAGTTACATATACCACTTGAACTTCTAAGTGCCCTTGCTTCTGAATGCATAGCCCTTGCCACGTCAAAATGCCTGTTGATGACTCTTTGCTGTTTCAGCTTCTTTTAAAAGGAGGAGTGCAGAGAAGCAGAGCAATTCCCTTTCAGATCTTCAGCTCTGCTGACGTTACCAGCGCTGCGTTTGGGTCTGTGCTGTCCATGCGGTTTGGTTAGCTGGAGCTCCAGGTCCTGTCCCTCCTGTCGCTGGTGGTCTGCAGTAGAGATCCTCTCCCCCATGAACTTTAGGAAAGGCTTAGCAGCTTCCTCTCCTGCATAGCTCCCAAAGTGCCCTGGGATGTGCAGGATGGCAGCTGGCTGGACTTTATTTAGAGCTAGGTTCACCACAGGTGCATCTGCTCTGGTTTCATTTTATATGTGCCCTTTGTGAGCTTAGCGGAAGCACCCAGCACCGCGAGTGTTCAGTCGCTTCAGAAGTCACGTGGGTAGAAATCTCTTTCTTCTGAAAGCAGCAAAAACCTTGCTACCTTGTGACATCTCTATTCAGCCTTTGTCTCTCCAAATTTTTAGATGTAGTGTGTATAATGTAATGTGTGTGTATGTGTGCTTTGGAACTCAAAACTTAACAGTTACATTTGCTGTACTGATCAGGACTGGAGAGGAATTGCCCTTCAGTACATGCAGCTATGAAAAGCTGTAACTTAGAGCAGGAATATTTTGGAAAAAGAATGACTGGAAAGAGCTAAGAAAAGTCAAGTTTGATGTATTTTGTAATTAAACTGTAGCAGTTGTGCAGCTTCATCTTTAGTAAGATAATATCTGCTTAAACAAACCCAGATATTTCCCAGGATTTGCTCTTCTCTTCCCCCTGTGGAAGAAAGCAGAAATGAGGTGGAATGTGGTGTAGGTAACATCAGAGTGCTGCACAGTGCTGATGCAAGTGTGTAGTTTGAAAAAGCAGGTGCTGGAGGGGCCGTTTACACACCTTAGTGTGCATGTGGAAATGATTTGCTCCTGGCCCTCTGCTTTTACTGGGTGCCTGTTGTTTGATTTGTGCTGAGGCTTCAGGGGAAGCAGGGCAAGGGCAGTTCATCTGTGGGTGTATGTTCTCCTTCATGTTCTGGCATGACCTGTCAGTAAATGACAGACGTCCTTCCCTGCTGCAGCTGTAAGCTGAGCGATGGATCATTGGCCTTTGTAAAGCTCTTTCCATCTGCTGATCTTAAAGGCCTGCGTAAGAGCTACGTCTTGAGCTTTTACAGAAAGGGTATCCCAAAAAACTATTAGGAGGTTATCAGGCAGGGGCAATATTACGCTGCTCCCCTTGATAACCGTGTCTTTACTACAACTGCATCAGAAGCAGCTCTTCTAGTGGATAGAGCCAATGGCTGTCTGCTTGTGATCTTTGTTTAAGTGGATTATGTTCTTCCAATCCAGAGGTCACATTAGAGCCTGCTTACAACCAAATTGGAAATAATAGCTGCTTTAGAACTTGGACCTTAAATAATTTTTTCCACTGAAAGAAAATAGCTTTTCATTCCAGAAATGACCAAAGGTCATGCTGCTTTGAAATCTTGCATATCCTTGTGTTCTGAGTATGTTTTTGTGGGTCAGCTCAGGTTAAATTCAGATCATGTAGAAAATAATGTTAAGTTAGAATTAATGACAAGCTGGCTAAGTGTTCCACGCCATTCAGTGTTTGGTAAAAGCATCACTTTCATGTTCTTCCTAGTGAGGAGAGCTTTTGGTGCACATCCTTCCAGTGAAGGCCCTTTGGGCTGAGTGTGGTTTTTGGATTGGCAGCAGGAGAGGTGGGGATTGCTTGCTGGAGGAATAGGGATGCTCTTTCCCCCTTGCAGCGCAGTGACAGTTCGTGGTGCATGTTCTTACTGCTTACTGCTGCTCCTTCTGCTGCCTTCCACGTGAAACTGTAAGACTAAGGCTCTGTCTTTTCAGGACACGGTGGAATAGCCAGCGCTGTTGTGGAAAGTGGAGCTGTTAATTTAGGTGTGCCTGTCATCTTCCAGTGTGGATGATTTAGATACTTCCTTCTGATATCAGGTGAATGCTGTCTTCATCTTGTTGTTAAATACTTTATTGCAGAAGGATGGGGACAGTGGCTGTGGCAGTGTTTCTTGGTCTCAGGGAGGCTGTGTTGCGAGTGGTAGAGAGGTTCCCGAGTACCACATGATTTGTTGTATCACGAGGGGTGGCGGTGGCAGACTTAGCCAGGTCCTGTTTGTAAAGCATGTGAGCAGCCTGGTGAAAGGCATGTGAGAGATGCAAAGTATTGTTTCTGTCGTGCTCCTGAGTCCTTTCAGTTGTGTTCAATTGCTTTTTCGTTCTTTTCCTTGACAGTCTTGGCTTGTGGGCGGCTCTTCAGCAATCCCAACTGGAACCTCACACCAAAAGGCACCATGATAGTGATGACTGACGTCACTGCAGCCCCCAGATTGGGGTCAACTGCCACCACTCCAGCTGTGGCTCCCAACTTCTCCTGGATGCCAGAGGATGGCAGCCCCACAGCTGTGGAGCAGCCAATATTCCTCATGACCACTGCTGCTCAGGCCATCTCAGGTTTCTTCGTATGGACAGCTTTGCTCATCACCTGCCATCAGGTAAAACCCTGTCACTCATACTTCTCATCCTTTTCCCCACATGGTGGAACACCTGTGATACCCTGGCATATCTCTGCCAGATACATCTCTGTGTGATGGGGGTTTGCAGACTCTGGGGTGGTATCAGCACCTCTTCTTTGGGGTCTTATATATTCTCTGTGCTGATCAAGGTGGCAACTTTTATATGAAGGCCTTTTCCCACCCAGGTTCAGACTGTTTCTGTAGTGTGAATGGAGAGGAAACAAACTCTTTAAAACTAGCAGGTGTAAAACATTTGGCCATGTCTGGAGTGTTTGCAGAAAGGTGTGTTATCTCAAGCCATCCTTTCCCAGGTCTTGTAGCTGAATCTAGCCATTTTGTTATTGTGTCAGCTGTCAGCTAAATGATCGTGGTCATCTGTTGTTTGACATACCTCCTTTGATCTCCTGTGCCAGTGGATTCCACAGGCTGAACTCTGCTGCGGAAAGGAGTAGCAGGAAATGTTTTATTTTAATTTTCTCCCCTCCCCTCTTTCTGGGACAGGTGTCCTGGGAGCCAGAACGAGTCAAGCCCTGCATCCTGTTCTGTACCTCTCTTTCACGCGGTTGTCATGTGAACTGAAAAACACAGTGGGGAAACGCAAGCCCTGTTATTTATCAACCTGTGTTTTGTACCTGTTGGTCCGTAGATTCCAGAGTGATGACTAGAATCTAGAAAACTACAGCCTATTCATGGAGTACTGGTGCTAGTGAAGTTCGAAAATGGATTAGTCACTGATGAATAAGAGTAACACCTGCAGTTTCACCAGCTCGGGTAACAATTACAAGTGCCATGGATCCTCCTGTTTCAGAGCACAAATTGATTGCCTACTGAGGGCAGGAAAAAATCTTTCCTCTGCGGTGTAGCATTGCACAGTTGGGCATTAATGCCCTTCTCCAAAGAAGCCAATGGAGGGCAGTGCCAGAGAGACACTGTTGATTGAAATGTGCTTTTGTCCTGTTACAAGGCAGCAGTTCTTGTGCTCTTGTAAGTGCATGGATTGCAGGGCTCTTGTGACATCCCAAGGGCAAAGCTTAGAGTCATCTGAACTCCGGTGTCAGCTGTCCTGTGCCGGGTGAGGTGTGTCACTGGGATTGTCACAAGGAAAAAATATCCGTAAGGTTTGGTAGTTTATTTTCAACCTGTTTGCCTCAGGAAATGAGGCTTTTGTCAGCTCCTCATGGGATAGGGAGAGGAAGCAGAAGTATTTTGAGCCTTTCAGTTGATTTTGACCAGATCTGACCAAGATACAGGGAGAGATGAGCCACAGACAGCTGGGGAGAGACAACCCCCTCTCCTTTACAAGGGGAAAGTTGAGAGCATCAATGTGTGCTTCGTCAGAGGATCCTCACAGCACCCCCAAATGCAGGGTGAAGCTTCAGACAAATGCTTGTGCCTCTTCAGGGAGCAAAATCAGTCAGCTGTGAAGCACGTATGTAATGAAGTAGCTGTTACTAGTTCCAGCAGATGGGGCAGCAGCTTGATGAGGGTTGCTGAACGGAGGCCTTGCCCCTGGAGAACGTGCCCTCTGTTGACTCCGTGGCTGACAGAGCGTACCCGCAACTCATGCCAACACTCTGGCTGTGTTATTAGGCCATTGCAGGAGTGGTGCTCATCTCCAGAGCATGCTTGTGGTCAGTACCTTTCCCAGGAGGTGGGTATTCTGTGAAAAAGCATCTTAGGCATGGAGTTTAATGATGGATGGCTAACAAGCTGTGAGCAGTGGGAGTGGGTAGGGTGGGGACATTGCAGTCCCCTCAGCCAGTGACTTAGGGGGATTGGCATGTGTGCAGGCAGTCAGACAACACAGGCGGTGCGGCTGCGAGGTTCCTTTGAGCTCGGTGCTCCCTTGGTGGCTGGTGCTTTGTGGCCGTGCTGTCACCGATGCACAGAATGGCACTTTTGGAGCAGACAGGCTGTGACTTATCAGCTCTTGGCAGTGCTGTGAAGGGCTCTCGCAGGTTGTTTCAGGTGAAAGTCTCAAAAGCATCCAAAACTGCCAAGAGAGTGAGAGTGTTTACAATGAGCATGTGCTTAAATGCGTGTTCCTTCCCTCTTCAGAGAAAAGCAGCCCGTGGTGTTGGGAATCTTAGGCACTTAAAACAGGATAGCAGCAGTATGGGACTGATAATTAGAAAAAAAGATATGAACAAAAGAATATGGACGTGGTGGTGATGATAACGGTAGATTAATTCCCTATAAGAAACTAGAATTAGAAATGCCTCCACTTTGTTTTCCTCCTCCTTCCCACTCTCTGCAAACTAAGGGATGCTGTGTCAGTGATAACAGTGAGTTATTTTTTTTATGTTCATCATGTTGAGGCTGCTGAAGGCAATCAAGGTATGATTTACTGAGTTTGTTTTTCCTGGCCCAGTTGACTTTCTAGTTCCATTTTCTTCTCTCTGTTCCGTATACCACTGACCCTGGTCTCCCCTCTCCATCCCCTCAGATCTACATGCATCTTCGCTACTACAGCTGCCCAAATGAGCAGCGCTACATTGTTCGGATCCTCTTCATTGTGCCCATTTACGCCTTTGACTCATGGCTCAGCCTCCTGTTCTTCACCAATGACCAGTACTATGTTTACTTTGGCACAGTGCGGGACTGCTATGAAGGTAAGGAGGGATCAGACAGAAAATGGGGGAGGTGGGAAGTCTCTGCTCTGAGAGGATTCTTGTTTCTGGTTGGGCACACGGAGAGAAAGCATCACTGTCACCTCCTGAGACAAAGGTTTACAGTGTCTGGATGATCATGGCTTGTGCGGTGACTGACAGTCATAGAATCATAGGGTGGTTTGGGTTGGGAAGGAACTTTAAAGATCATCTAGTGCAATGCCCCTGCCATGGGCTGGGACATCTTTCACTAGATCAGATTGATCAAAACCCTGTCCAACCTGACCTTCTCCCTCAGTGACCTCTGAGCATGACAAGATGTGTTGACCCTTCCCTCTGATGTTCTGTAGAGACTAAGTTTATGATTTTCTTGGGTCCTTTGCTTCAGGAAGGTGTAAAGCCAAGAATCTGTTTCTAGCTGGGTGTTTAAAGTGAGGTACCAGTTAGTTCCCAGTTTTTGGAACAGCACGCACTTAGCAGCCAGATGCTTGCTTTGTCCTGTTTTCCTGGCAGTTTGTTAGTGGTGTATTCTTCTGGACCCATCCTGTGGCCACTTGTGTGATCATGCAGGGTAGCACAGCCACCGTGTGCTGGCGTTGGTGAGGTGTGAAGTGCTTTGGAGTCCTTCAGAGTCCTGTTAGGAGACAAGGTGCCGTGTTTGGGATGAGTTAGCAATTGCTTTGTGTTTTGTTATCTGCTGCAGATACCACTAGCATTTTATGTGAGGGAACAGTTGCATTTTATGTGAGAGAACAGTTGCTCTCCAGTAGATACTGTCTAAACTTCCCCCCTGATCTCACCCAGAACAGAGCCTTCTACCTATCCAGCAGGAGAAACTGCACTTTAGCAGTGTATTTTTGAGGACAGTTTATCACCATACCCTCATTAAATCATAATTCACTGGTGCAGTTGTTTTGTGAGATCTGCATTGCAGAGAGATGCCCCCAGCCATGTGAACAAGTTAATTGGCTGAAGGGACCAGCAGGGCCCTTTTCACATCCATGACAATGCTCTGAGATGCAGCAGCAGATGGCAAACGCGCGCGTCTGATTCGGAAGGTATCTTTGTTTGGGCCTGGGTTTTTTTCCTTCCCTCCTTCCCTGCCCTGTGCACGTGTGTAGGTCTAGCAGGAAGCCTGCTGCTCTGTGAAACTCCTCTCCTAGAAACAGCCAGTGTCCCTCTGCCTCACTGGTTTGGGGAGTTTGCAAACATCTGAGTGTCTGCTCAGGAAGCAGCCCATGCTCCAGAGTTTACCTCCACACGTTGGGCTGTGCAGAAAGTCTACAGGTGGAGGTGAAAGCACCTTCAGTCAGCAGGTTCTCTCCCTCACTTTTTCTGGGGGCCACTTTGAAACAGCCTTTTTGTTCTCTGCCTTCCCTTGCCATCCACCTTACAATTTCATTTTTGTGAAGGTATTAGGTTGCAAAGTGGGAGGAGCTCTGTTAGGGAACAGGAGGAGAAGACCCTGTTCGTAAGTTTTGAAAGCTGTCTCGGGCCATTTGTGGGCTGCATTTCATGGTGTGTGTTAGGATGAGCGTATTTTGGCGTTGCTCTTTCACATGACTCTGCTTCTTTATGAACCTGGGTGTCAGTAACACTGACACAAGTAGATTTTGTTGTTGTTGTTGTTGTTGTGTTGATGTCATAAGCACCCTCTGATGAATGTGGATCACGAATGGGGGAAGGGTTGCTGGTGTGGTAAGCTTTTATAGTTAGCACTCATTTATTTTGTGGACAGAGGGGCAGGTATTTCCCTCCCTTTTTCTTTGTTTGTTTTTATTTTCTTCCTCTGATGTCATCTCTTCCCTGGTGCTTGTGGAATGGGCAGATGGTATTGTAATAACCACATCAGAGGGCAGGGGTCACTGGAGTACAATAGGAAATGCTCAGCTTTTCTTCCTCTGGGTGCTGGGACCTGTCAGCTAAGTTGCAGGAAAATTGCAGGCAAAAGGGGTTACCTAACTTATTTAAATAAGTTTTCTGTGGTTGATGTTTTCTCTCCTAATAAAGGCTTTCTCAAAATTATTGCTGCGTGAACACACCTAACTTTGTTCAATAACGAGGATTACAGATGGAATAACAATATCCCAATTATATACATAGTAGCAGGTATACCACTGGCTTTTATGTGCTGTGGCATTCTTGCCAGGTAGGCAAATCTACAAGCCATAAATATAATGTTTGAAGATTATGAGTGTTTTGGGGAGTGTTGAGTACCTCTTTTCCAGGGCATAGTTTGAATGCTTGTAGAATTATTAGAGTTGATGTCTGACTTTGGACATTCATCCATGTGGGAAAATTGACCTCGGGTCTAGTAACTGGCTGCTCAGTGAGGTCAGCTGCTCAGCACTGGACATTATTAGGCTTTTGTTCTTATTTCTAAGTTCCTTGGGACTTCTGGTTTCATCCCAAGTTATTTTCTCTTTGTATTATGTTAATGCTGGAGGCCAGAACCGAGATTTGGGTATTGGTATTCCAGGGCATGTCTGCCTACAGACTATCATAGAAAATAATGTTGAAAGAGGGGTCACCTGGTCTGTCATTTTACCCCCAGACTGTATGTGGCAAACTTAGGAGTACAGACCTTGCCCTAAAAATCTCTACAACTGTATGAGGGTCCAACAGTGCTTATAACAAGTCAAGAGAGTGGTGGACAGGGCAGGTACAGGCATACTCTATGCACCATTAAGTGGCTTTGGATCCCATGAAAAGGAAACATGTCTGCAGTTATGATGAGAGCCGTCCCCACAGTGTCTTCACCTCAGTTTATATATATCAGCAAAACTGAGCCTTGAAGAGAACTGAAATGGGGCAGTGTTAGTGCTCAGTCTGAGAAGGCTCTTCCTCATTGGTACCAGGTTGCTGGGGAAGGCAGAAAAGAGGTAGCCCAAGGAGAAGGCTATTCAGTACACAAGAAATTTCAGCTTTCTGAGGAAATGAAGCACAGAGTATGTTATTCAAAAATCTCCACTAGATATGAAAACAGTTTCACTGATTTGTAAAAACTCTCTGTTTCTCCAGCTGTTAAGTCTATAATGTGGTTACCTCAGAGAGAGAAACTGTATGCATCACCTAAAAGGTTAAATGCAGGAGATAAGATATGGTTGATAGATCAGAGAGAACTTTTCCAAATTATTTAGTACCAGTGTAATGTCCTGGAATACTGCACAGGAACCCTGTAAAGAATGGTGTCTTACAGATGCCAAGTAAAACAGAGTCTGACCATAGTTTTAAATGGTCCTGTGACCCTTTTGGCATGAGTCATGGAACTGGCCTGGGACCTTGGCCAAACTCCAGTTCGCATAGTCTTGTGAGTGCTGAGGTAGGATGATAAATGCAGTGAAAATAATCTGGAGTGCTTTGAAGGGAAAGATGCTGCATAAGCAGTCCCTGCTAATGTTTGGTCTGTTGCCTGTACTCTTGGTCCCCGTACCTGTTTTGAAGTTGGTTGTCATTTTACTTTGATTGATGTCTTTTCAGCCTTTGTAATATACAACTTTCTCAGTCTCTGCTATGAGTACTTGGGAGGAGAGAGCTCCATCATGTCTGAGATCAGAGGGAAACCAATTGAGTGAGTATTTATTGTGCTTACAGCATGATGCTCTCTTCCTTCTGTACCCATCTACCATGCCTCTATCCCTGCCCCAAAAAACTGTCAGGTGGCAAATGTTTGCTGGGACTGAGCAGCATGGTTGGTGATGATCTACTGGTACCCTGCTCTGAGGTAGATCAGGCTGATCACATCCTCTTAGGCAAGCTGAACTGACTCACAGCTTTTCTGGATACCTGCCTACTCTTTTGTTTCCTTTCTTATTCCCTTCTCCTTTAAATCTTTCCTGTCTTCAGTTGGTTGTGTGTGCTTCCTCTAGGATGTGTGTTTCTCCCCATGCTACTCAGTTAAAAAAAAAAAAAAAATTGTAACATGGAGTCAGGGTGTTGTTTTAAACACATCTCTGAAAGAATATCTGGCTGTGTAACTAATCATGTTGGAGAAAGCACTGGTCCTGCAACTTTACCACAGAGAGACAGATGAAGAGGGCAGGAATCTTGCACTCTAGCCCAAATCTTGCTTCTGAGCCCTGTCATCTTGTATTGGCTCTTTTAGGTCCAGCTGTGTATATGGGACTTGCTGCCTGTGGGGAAAGACCTATTCAATTGGATTCCTGAGGTTCTGCAAACAGGTATGGGCTGGAGGAACTGTGCCATCCTCTACAAGTGAATCAAGTGTGAAGGTGGCAATGGGGACTTTTGCTGATGAACTTCTGAGATGAGCACTCCTTTGAGGGGGTTTATAATATAGTTTTGAGAGGCCTGCAGACTGCTGAGAAGACAGAGTGTTTTGGAGTTTGTTTTTTTGTTTGTTTGTTTTGAATGTTCTTAATATTTTCTACTCAGGCCTGCATCAGGAAGGCCTTAGCAAAAGACCCAGTTTATCTCCTGGATCTGATGTTAGCCCTGGGAAGAAATTCTGATTTCTTCTTCCCTTTCTGGATTGCAGAGGTCCCAACTTTAAGAAATTGATGGCTGTGTTGTGTTGCAGACACCCCACAGTTGTGTAACAGCCTCCTGAATTCCCAGTGCTGCTGTTGTGGTTTAGAGTTGAGGAGGGGGTGGAGGTTAAGCATGACACAACACTTTGTAGGAGGAACAGTATTGCTCACCATGTGTGTCTGTCTGTGCTGAATTGAATATGTCAATGGGGAGGGAATGGGGGAGATCCAAACCTTGATACAGCCCTTGTCTGCTCGTCCCAGGTCAGTCACCTCTGGCTGCCATGAAACAGCAGGTGAGTTTGAAGGCTTTGCTCACTTGCTGAAATGAACACATGAGGTTTCTCTGGAGACACTGTGAAACTGCTCTGGTTCATTGAAAGGGCTCAGGTCATTGTAATTCCAGTCACTGGGTCTAGATATCTGCCCTGGCTTCTTCTCCGCATCATGACACGACCCATCTTCTGTGTTTTAGCAATATGCAGGAACATCAAAGGAACAAACAATGCAACCTCATAGTAATATCCAGTGTTAATCTCTGCAGCACAACTGGCCCTTTTCAAAAGACCACATCTTTCTTTTCTCTGTTCTATTTGTCCTGTGCTCCCTCCTCATGCCTTTCTTGTTTTCTTCCCTGATACTTTATTTTCTAATTTGCTCCCAGTAGGCTGCTTCGCCTGTTTTTCTTGGACTTCATTTGTACAGCCTTTGATTGATTTGATGCATTAGCTCTTCTTTTTGCTCCTAATGTTAACTTTTACCTTTTAAATATGTCATAAGCAGATGTAACACCTATCAAGGTGAATGAGTGCTGGAGAAGTAGTTTCCCTTAGACCTCTTGTTCTCATGTTCCACAGCCTCTGGCAGTTACCTCCACATGGGTTGCACCTGGCTGTATTTGGAAAGTTTTTTCACAACAATGAAGACTAGAAGCATGGGGTTCTTTTTTTTTCGGTTTTGCTGGCTTCTGCAAATCCTCAGTTTATTTGGTAACTCTGGCTTAGGTGGATATTTTACTTTTCCTTTGCTGCTGTCTGGCAGCAATTCTTCTAGTCAGGCTGCTCTTTGCAAACTGCTAAGTCTGCTGTGGAGGCTGTGAGGGAGGTGCCTTGCAAAGGGATGTTTAAATACTTCCGTCTTTCTTGGCTTGAACTTCAGTGTTGGCTTCGTGAGAAATCTTTGACACCAAGACTTGCTTTCTGGTACTTCTAGACTTCCAGGATTGCTGAGTAAGACCTTTCAAGGCAAATTCCTCGTAAAGCTGGTGCAAAAGGGCAACAGAGCACACCTCAGTTCTCATCTGTGCAGTATCCACCATCGTGATGATCAGGAAGAGGAATGTGCTGGAAGGAGCACCTTGCCCATTTTATCCCTGTTCTCAGTAACTCCAGCACTCCTGTTGCCTCCCACCACCACTTGCCCATTTTCTGCTCTTTCCAACCCCTTTCATCTTGAAGGAATCTGTGTTATAACCATTACTTCTTTCCGTCTTCACCCCCGCCCCAAGCTGTTCTCAGGCAGGTGCTTGCTGTGGGTCGGTCAGTCTGCCTGCATTGCCTGCGGCCCTTCAGCAGTCCAGTGGAGTGCCAGTGGCTGTGGTGTAAAATCTGGACAGCTTGTTTCCTTAAAGATGTCCTGATCAAGGTTCTTTGCTGGGTGTGTGTCTGGTGACCCTCACAGATGGGTCACACACCATCCATGTGCTTCCTGTATGCCATAGCATCTTCTAGGGAAGCAACTAAAAATAGGACCTGGTGGTTTGAATTGCAGGGAAATGGTTAAAACATCCCCAGACTGGAAAGAGGGGAAGCTCAGAGAACAGAGTTGTTTACGAATTAGCTTGACCTTTTCCAGTTCACATATTTACAGTGACTCACTAACTGGCATGTGCTGGGGTTTTTAATCTCCTTGAAGTCTTATGACCACTAACAAATTGCATCGTATCCAAAGCAATTATTCCTGTTTGGTTTTGCCTTCTTTCCATACACAGCCTTCCCTACGTGTGCACAGGTCAACACCTGCCCAGGCTCTTCCAGCCTCCTTCAGGGAAACTTGGGTGACATTTTTAGGACCACAACCCTCTGCTGTCTTAGGACCTCAGAGTTCAATGTCTCCAGAAAAATGAAGCATGGGCTTCCTTTGAGAGAGGCGGAGTCCAAATTGCAGCAGTGATTTATACTGGCACAATGGATAGAGCTGATCCCAAGTGCTATGGAGCACTTGGGGAGATTCAGCAAAAGTCATGTGGGTGACAAATCAATAGCTCTTAATTTCTGTCTGGCGACGCACGTTGGTGTGATACAAAATGCCTTAACATGGTGGCAGCTGTCAAAGTTCCTCTTCAGAGAGTTGGGTTCTCCTCCTGTACGAGGGACCATCTTGCCTAGGTCATGGCAACTGTGGATTGGAGTTTGCTTCCCTTCCCCAGTGTCCCTTTGTTAAACTTGCTGTGTCTGTACCGTAGCACAGTGTGGTATTTTTTTTCTTCAAGCCATTACCATGCATAAATATGCTGCAACACAGCCTATGAAAGAGAGCTCTGGAAGAGAGCAGCTGAGCATTTTCTCGGAGCAACATAAAGAGAGGTTTTTCTTCCCATCCAGTACAAGTGGATAGCACACATATTTCTCCCGTGTCTCCTGTTGGGTGCTGCAGTCCTCAGGCACAGTCGATTAGCAAGCAATGGGGTCAGACTCCTTGTTAGGACTGGATCGTGTTGCATTGCTACGCTGTCCCAGTGGAGATATTGTCATGGTGATTGTTTGGGAACTTGGCCTTTTGGACCTTCTGTCTTCTCATTCCTCCTCTCTCATTCCTGTAGGCTACCCTGCAGTTTTGTGTGGTGAAGCCCCTCATGGCGATCAGCACAGTCATCCTTCAGGCCTTCGGCAAGTACCAGGATGGTGACTTTGAGTAAGTTTGTTTGTCTAGCAAGCATGCTTCGGCTGCCCCTTCTCTGCCCAGCTGTGTTTATGGTCCTTAAGTGGCTGTGGGAGAAGACAGGGGAACAATATGCACGTGAGAAAAGAGGGCAGAGGTAAGCCTGTTGGTTGCAGGTTTATTCTACCTCAGTTTGGGGGAGGGAATGGGACAGGGAGGCAGGAATGAAATGGAGTTTTAGAACTTCCCAGTGATGGCAGCAAGGGGAAAAGATCATGCTGAAATTTCAGGCATTCATATATCTCCTTTTTTTTCAGTGTAACCAGTGGCTACCTCTATGTGACGATCATCTACAACATCTCTGTCAGCCTGGCACTGTATGCCCTCTTCCTTTTCTACTTCGCCACACGTGAGCTGCTCACTCCGTATAGCCCAGTCCTCAAGTTCTTCATGGTGAAGTCTGTCATCTTCCTGTCCTTCTGGCAAGGTGAGCTGCTTTTCTCTTCCCTTGGTAGGCACAAAGCTCTGTGCAGGGCCTCAGGCACTAGAGTTGATACAACAGTTGCTGATTAATAGCCAGAATGTCTTTCTGTATTATTATTACATTCATTTTATAGTCTTTCAATGCTTTTCTCTGGGAAACCTCTTTTGCTCATTTTCATGTTTTATCTCTATGCTCCTGAATCCTCACTATGCCTGTGTGTGTGTGCATGTGCATATCTGCCAGGCAACATCAGCTGTTTGGATTAAGAGTCCTTCACATTAGTGGAACAGTCATAAAGCACAAGCTGCCCACGTTTTATCTACATGCTGCCGTTTTATTGATTAAAGTGGCACATCTAAAAATTTTTAGGACTTTTTTTATTTTAGTGCTTTATAAATGAAATTCTAATGGTATGTCTGTGACTCATGTGAAGGAGCAAGTTGGCTGAATGCAGTGTGTGCTGCCACAGAACCGCCACTGAGCGGAAGGACTTTCAGAATACATACATATGAAGCAGAGGCACATTCAGAAATCTGAAATTCCACCTCAGCTTAGTGCTTCTTGCTAATTGGCTTGAAGCATTTCCCTGTTCAATGCCCTGCTTTGGTTTACTGAGTTGCACTTCAAAGACTAATTGAGTAGGAACTTGGGTGGAATTTAGGCTGCTGGAGTATGGCTCATCCTCCCTGTCTACAGACAAACTAATAAACTCTCTAGTTTATCATCTTGAGCCATCTGGTCACACACTTTCTGCCTTCTCTGGAATTCTTCAGCCACCTGGCTATGGACAAGGAGGAACATCTTTCTTGCAGTGGTGTCAAAACCACTTTATGCTTAAATGAAAAGCTCTGTTACTTCAGTTTTTGGTCTAGCTAGAGATCACAGAAATATCTGACTGCTTCTTACCCTTTTGGACTTAAGTCCTGCAGCAGCTAGTTCCACAGATTATGCATCAGTTGAGAATAGAAGAGGGTCAGTGTTTGAACATTCTTTGCTTAAACATTTGTCTCATTTATTTCTCCGTTCTCTGTTGTACAAACGAGCGTAGATGGGAGTATCTAGCCTTCTCTGTTTGTAGCTCCTGTGTTAAATGGGTTTGCATCTAGGACATACAGCACAGGTAGCTATTTCAATTCCTTACAGTTAGTATGCCATCATGTTTTCTCCAAATTTACATGATCTTCTTGCTTTGTTTAGGGATGCTGTTGGCCATCTTGGAAAAGTGTGGTGCCATCCCCAAAATCCACTCTGCCACTGTGTCTGTGGGTGAAGGCACAGTGGCTGCTGGGTATCAGGACTTCATCATTTGTGTGGAGATGTTCTTTGCAGCCATCGCTCTGCGCCATGCCTTCACATACAAGGTGTATGTGGACAAGAGACTTGATGCCCAAGGTAGGAAGTATGCCAGTGCATATGTATGGCATGTCTATTTGGTAGCAAGACTGGGTGGAGTCTGGTCCCTCCGGCAACCAACACACTGATCAGACTCCCAACCTGAATGCTTGGAAAACATCACATTCCCTCCTCTGTGGTGTCTGAACAGATTCATTGTGCAACGTCTCTGCAGGGCAGAAACCTTGTCTGAATGGCATTGTTCCCTTTTCAGTTCCCCAGTATGCCACCCACGACAGCTTGTTGCAGACCTGAGGGCTGCAAGAAGTTGCATCCTTCTTTTGGTAGATTGGGTTTGTCCTCCTTCCTGTCTCCCCAAAGGGGAACTCCATTGCTCCAGATTGTGCAACAGACTGAAGGCAAGAGGGACAGGGCCTGAAACAGGCTCTGTTTTGAATCTGGCCCAGGAAGATGAGGCTGTGCTTTGGCAATATATTTGGTTTGGAGGAGCAGGATCTTCCTGTAATGACTTTATGAGGGCTGGGCTGCTACCAGGTCTTATTCCAGGGAAGAAGAAGGTGTATGTTATCTCTGGGAAAAGGGGATTCTCGTGCCCAGTCTGTGCAAGTATATTTGGTGTTCTCCAAATAAAGGGGTTATTTCATGCTGGGGGGAGTCTGTGCTGAGGTGTGGGAAAACAGCAGCCCTTGGGTAGTGTTCATATAGGTGATTCCTCCATCCCAACCAGCCCCAGAGGTTTTGGAAGGTCAGTGGCCGCAGCTGGGGGAGATGAGATCTGTGGGTGATGAAAGGGTAAACTGCTGGCGAGTACAGTGGGGGATGTTTTGGTGGTGGGTCTTGTTCAGTTCTTGTTATTTCCTCTCTCTCTCTCTCTGTGTCTCTCTCTGTCTCTCCTCTCCCTTTTATCTCTCCCTTGCTTTGGCCACTCGTCCCCGATGCAGCTGTTCCATCATATGGGCCATACGGTAGGTACAGCATGCTCTGTGTGTTTGCCTGTTGTTTTTTAACTGGGATGCTGTTCTGTCCTGATTCCCAGCCTGCCTATTGCCTGCTTTGTCCCTTGTTCCCCTTTCCTTGTAGGTCTGTAACTCAGCTGCCCTCACACAGCTGCTTTAGGGTTGTCTGGATCATAAGTTGTAAAACAGCCCCTTGGGCAGCAGCACAATACCCAGCTTTAGAGCATTTCTTTCAGAACTGTGTGAATCTCTCCCAAAACAGTTGCAGAGGCTCTCAAAGGAGCCAGTTTGCTGTCTCACCCCAGCCTCCCTTCACTTCATAATTGCCACAGATGATCAGCATGCTTTGGTTGTTTGGTGATCTCATCCCCAGGACTGAGCAAAGCCCATGCTGGAAATGGGACCCAGAAGCCATGAGAAATGGCAGCTCCTAGAAGGACATACAGCCTTACTCTGTGCTCAGCATTTGAGTGGGACAATCTCCAGCTGTCGTGCCCTTCATGGTATCACTGTGACACCCTCCACCCGTGGAATGGTTCTCTAGTACTGACTGTTCCCCTCCTTTGCACTGCTTTCCACTTTTGTGATCTCTTTCCTGTGGGCCCTTTGATACTGCCTATCAGTCTAATTTCCAGTGAGTGGGAATGGCAAATGACATTTCTCCTATATTTTTAGAATTTCTTTAGTTTTTGTCTTCTGAAACTCTTTACAGGAGAACCTCCCTACCTGACTGTCTTCACTGCACAGCCAAGCCAGCACAGGTAGCATGTAGTGGAGGTTGTCACTGTGGATACGTCCCATTTTCATGGCACGTCCCCCGTTTGGTGCTGAGGTAGATACACTTGGCTAGCAGTGGCTGGATTTAGGAGCACTACTGGTAAAACTTGACACCATCTGTGTGGCATTTCCTCAGCAGCTGCTTAAAGAAGTCTGTAAAATAACTTCTGCAGGATCTAGGAGTGCATGTTCGCTGTTCTCCTTACCTTCGTGTTAAGGGATGTGGGGGTAGGCAGCAGTATTCTTCACTTGTCCCTCCCCATCTTACCCCAACAGGTCGCTGTGCTCCCATGAAGAGCATCTCCAGCAGCCTCAAGGAGACCATGAACCCCCATGACATCGTCCAAGATGCGATCCACAACTTCTCCCCAGCCTACCAGCAATACACCCAGCAGTCAACGCTGGAGCATGGTCCGCCCTGGCGCAACGGCGGTCATGTTATCTCACGCTCCCAAAGCTGCTCGGGTGCCCGTGACAATGAGAAGACCCTCTTGCTGAGCTCCGATGATGAATTCTAGGAGAGGAAACTGCCAGCACAGGCTGTCGTTTTCCTTCTCGTTGTTTGTTTGGGGTTTTTTTTAATTTATTGAAGCAGAAACATGCAGGTCATATCACTTCCTAGAGAGTGCAGATTGCAAAAGTGGGCACTTCCCATTAGCTTTTGAGGGTGTGGACACCGTGAACAGTGTGGAGGTGGGGGAATGATCGAGACTCTGTTATCCAGCCCATTCCTTACAGATGCAATTGACTGGAAATAATTGACGCAAAGCTCCAGGGTTTGGGGCTTTGGCCTCCCACACCTGCCTGGCTTGATGTGGAGTGTGACTGGCCGGAGCCTGGAGTTGTGGCCAAAAATGTTTTGGGTTTCTTTTTTCTAGCTGGACAACCCAACTGCTTTGTATTCCTCTTCTTGAATGGTTGATGTAGGCACAGTTTTCTCCCCCAGCTCCCTGATACCAACATCTCTGTGATCCTTGGGAAATGGGATTAGGATGCAGTGATAAGCATTCCTGGGGACCAGACCAGAGACTGGTCTCTCTATAGCCATTGCCTTGAACGCTTAGTAAGGAACATCTGCCCTCACCCTCCTAAGCACCTGGTTGTGCAGTCCTGTACTTGAGTGAGCGAGGGGGAAAAGGACAGGACTTTCTTCCTGTTCCTCTGGTCCCCACAAACTCCCTGCTCCCCATCAAAGCTGATGCTTGTTGAAGCTCAGCCACAATGGAATTACTGTCTCAGAAGGGCAGGGTTTTCTAATCATCAGGTGTCCAAGCTTCCCATCTCCCTGGCCTTCCTGTTGCAAGAAGCTTCCCTGGAGTGTCGTGTCTCCTACTAACAAGACTGAGGACTGGCCATCATAGGTGATGGAAGTTTGTAGAGCTCTGGCTCTTTCATCCCTCTTTGGGAAAGGAAGATATGTAAACACTAAACCGTTTTTTTCTTCTTGTTTCCTTTCCCCCACAGACATAGCTGTCCCTCTTAAAGGTGTGGATTGCACCAGGTAGCTGCCAAAGCAGATCCTGGTCTCTCACAGGTAGCTCTCCTCATGGTTGTCATCATTGACTTCCTCTGCAAGCTGCACAAGTTTTGCCCTTAGGCTGGAGTATTCAGGAAGGGATGTTGCACACTCCTTCTTTGTTTTTTATCTTCATAGCTGTTCTGGGCCAGACTGGAGCAGGCTTGAAACCTGACATGATCTGACTGGTTAAAATTGTCCCTCTTGGTTTCCCAGGCAGCAGTTGCTGCTGCACATTTCACAGGCCCTGCAGCAACTGCAACACTATCAAGGGTGGAGCCAGCATCCATGGGAGTGGGAAGAGAAGCTTCCCCTTGTTTTTGTTGGGTTTTGGATTGGCCCTAGGTATTTAGCCAAAATAAAAATGATTCCTCTGTAGATCTATCCAGGGACCAGGAAATGCCTCTTGCTTGCTTAAAATTGTCTAGGGGAGAAGAGGGGAGCACACTCAAGTGCCACCGATCAGGTACCCCTTCCCCCAAGCAGGAAGCAAAATGGAGAGTTTGCAGCAAGCTGCTGTGTTCTTCTTGGCTGTAGTTTCTCTGTTCCTCTCCCACTTTAAGCCTGCCCCGACATCAGCAGACCTGTGTATTTCCAGATAGCCCCTTGTTCCTCTGCTAGGAGAACTGGGATCTGGTTTACTGCCTGGCCTTTACCTTTCCTCTTGTATTCTGATCTGCGTGTTTGCTCATTCCCTATCTCAGAAGCGACTGTGAGTGAAGACCACCTCATTTCCTCAGCACCCCTGCCAGAAACCTGTGGTCAGGAGCTGGGGTCAGGGGGAAGGGCTTGAAGAGAGGTGGGTTTGCTCCCTGCTGTGAGGATAAGATAGGGGAAGGTTTAAGGACAGTGTCTCCAGTACTCACATGCCTGAGGGGATGGTGAAGCAGGTGTGAGAGCAATGGTGCTGACTCCTGTGGGAGCTGGAGGCAGGGTCAGTGGGTCCAGCAGCTTCTCTGCTGCTGGATTTCCCCATTTGCACACCCCCTGTGATGCCATGACTGCTTTGCCCAAATCCATCACTGCTTAAATGGACATGCAAACACTATCTGCCAGGCTTTATGCGGGCTTGGTGTAAAACTCCTTTTCCTTATGCCATAAGCCACCTGGAAAGCAGGGCTGAAGATTGAATGGGCTTTCCTTCCATCTTCCATGGCTTTGATTAATATTCCTTTAGCGTGAGGTATTTATGTTATATTTCCCCTCTCTCTTAGGAAAGTGGGGTATGAGACGTGATCCCTTCCTCCTCTTTCCTTGCCTTTGCAGGCCTTGATGATGTCTCAGTGTCACTTAATTGGTGACTGTGCCCAATCTTTTGTCGCATTGAGTGGCTGAGATCTGAAATCTCTGGGCTTGCCCTTTTGAGCTTGAAGATGATCTGGGCTTGGAGAAGCATTTTTAAAAAAATATTTTGAAGTATATGCTGCATATATATGCTGTGCAGAGGATCTGGGTATTCTCAAAGCTTCCTGTATGTAGTGGTTTAAAGTATAACCCTTTTGCACTAGCTGCCTTTGGAAAAGCCTGATGAAGAACTAGCACCCAAACAACAGCCAGCTGCCATGTGTTACCATTTTATATATATACCTTTTTTTTTTTAACACCACACAAAATAATCTCTGAGCTTCCTGCTCTCCCTCACAACAGGTAAGTGCCAGAGCAAGGACTGGCTTTGAAGCTGCTCTGGCTTGGAGGAATAAATATAAGACCCAGAGCTTGAGACCAAGGAGGCCAAGGCATCTGTGGTCTTGCAGGTTTGCTTGTGGTAGCCCAGGGCCCCAGCAAACGTGTTGGTTCCAGGAGTAGGTCCTTGGAGCTGTTCTCCCTCACCTGCTTCCCCTCTCCTTCCTTCCTTCCTTTTTGTTTACCATGTAACATACCCATGGGATTTGTTTATTATTTTTCCATATAGAGTAGTTCTTTGTATATAAACAACTGAAAAAAAAAATGTATGATAAATAAGACAGAGTCACCTAGTTTTGTACCTATTGTGTTTAACTGATGTGAGCTCAGCGACAAGCCGCTCTCTCTATTTTGGTCTTTGTGATGTTATACTCTGCAGAAATGAGCAAATATGATGACAAATAAAAATATAGAGATAATATAGATTGTATTTAAACTGCCTCTGTGTGGTGCTGTCTGCGTGACTTCTCTGAACTGATTCTGAGTTTTTGCTCATTGCAGGAGCTGAGGCTTAGTGCATCAGTGTGTCTTGTCCTCCTACTCCTCAAGAGGAAAGCTTTACAGTCTGTATATGCAGGAGCTGAAAGAGAAGCAGCATTGCAGCAGCCTGGGGGATGAGACATCACTGATGGCCTAGGGCAGCAGTGAAACTCATGTGCCAAAAACCTGGAGCTCAGTGTGAAACAACTGGGGGAGAAAGGGGGCTGCTTTCTCTGACATGGGCCCCAACAGACAGCAGCTCTGGGCTTTTTTTTCTGGGCCAGTTTGCAGTGGCAAGAGGGAATGTGAGTGTAAGACCCAGAACCATCATGTGAGCGCTGCAAGCTACCAGGAGGCTGGAACCTGGCCCACCTGGGTGTCAGAGGAAGATGCTTGTTGCTCCACCTCAGCTCTGAGAAAGGGTGGCTTCCCCAGAGGGAGGTCAGGGCTTCACCTCTGTGTAAGACACCTGCCATGCTTCCTTCCCCTTCTGCCACCCATGGACATGAGCTCCCTGCTTTCCTCCTCGCTGTTCCCAAGGCAGGTGGTGAGGTCACAGAGGGGAAGTTTTTGGGTAGAGTTGCCCCAGTCTTTCTTCCTGCTCTGGGTCTGAGGGCAGCCTGGAAGGAATTTTTCTAGTGAAAAGCATTGCCTTTCCTAGGAAAGGCTGTTTCAGCACAGCTGAACTGCTCCTGAAAGCAAGCACTTTGGGGATGGGTGATGTTCAGCACTAAGCTTGCTTACTTAGCCCCTTTTTTTCCAGAGACTACAAATCTGTGGTTTTTTTCTAAAAAGTCACAGGCTGTCCCCATGCTGTATTTTTTTGAGGCACATTCTTGACCATGTCCTGCAGCAAAGCTAGAGGGAGCTAGAAACCCTGGTCTTCCTGAGACACAGCTCTGTCCTGAAGTTCAAGAATGACAAAACACACTCTCACTGTGGAAAAAACCCAAAAAACAAAAAACTTGCTTTATTTGCAAAGTCTACAAAATACAGAGGAGTCGGGTAGGACACATACTGTAAGTCAGAAAATAAATAAGTATTTTTTTGCTCTATATAAGTATAAGATAAAATGTGATTTGCATATATAAAATATAAAGTACAGCTCTGTACCAACATCCTGGCTGTGCCGAGAGACAGAATGGCAAAGAGGACGTGAAAATAACTTATGTTCGTGCAATAAATAAATCCAAGAGGAGATGGGGTGGGATGATGCGAATCACAGTGCCCCCTCCATGAGCAGCAGGCACCTCTCTCTGGGGAGGGATGGAGCTGCAGCCCAGGGCAGCTGGCATGGCAATATCCAGGCAGGGGAAGGGAAGGAAGGAGCAGGGGGATCATCTCCAGTGGCAGATACTAAGAAGGATCTGCGTCCTGTTACCTCCCCCATGCTCTGTATTTAGCAAACCCAGCTCTTCCTCAGCATTTCAGCCTGCTGAAGAGCCGGTTGTTCCACACAGGTGTCCAAGCTGGAGGAAAAACAAAGGGAGGAGCCTACCTGCCTGCCAGGCATCTCCCAGGAGCAAGGATGCTCTCCACCCTTGCTTCCCACCTCCTGCACCTCCACCCCTCTGCAGCTCTGGCTCTCAGGGGCCAGGAGCACCTTTCTGTGGGCTTTGTAGGCGGCGGGGCACCCAGGAGCACTTAGTGGGGCTGTACAAGCAAGCCTGTGCTGAGCAAAACAGTGTTTATCTCTGCTCCAGCTGCCTCCGCTTCCTTCCTGCCGGTGCTGCTGAGTTTCAGAGACACCCGGCTGGCTGGGCTGAGCGACCCACAGGCAGGAAGAGGCGTGAAGGATGTGTGTGATGGAGAGAGATAAAACAGCACCACTGCCTCCCTGCTTTAAGTAGGACAGCCTGGGCTGACCTGCTCATGTCCCCCAGCTCTCCCCTGTCCGAGGGTCCTTCTATCACCATCACCTCTGAGCCCCTCCAGTGCCGCAGGCTGCCCCGGCACTTTCACATCCCACTCACCCTTACTAGGCACCAACCTGCAGCCACTTTCTCTCCTCCTCTGACCTGCCACCTTCCCTTG